ACAAGTTAAAGCCTTTCCCAGCGTGTGTGCTATGGACTTGAGATCGATACGTGGTGGAATACGTTGTTACGTGATGATTCTATCTACTACAAACATCACTAGATTCACCTATTGGTGACCTGCTTCAGTGTAGTCTAATGATTGATGTCTGGCAACAAACAACGAATCGTAGAGAAGAAAACAGACCTCTATAACCAACAATATGCCATTGATGTGATTCATAACAATTTATAATAATAATAAATGATTTTTATTATTTTGCCTTGGTGTGGCTTGGGAGTTGTAAAGGGAGTGTTGGTAGCAGAGAAAGTCGCTCCATTTTATTTTTGTAACCTGCGTGATCTATGGTTCGTACACGCTGACTGTTCCTTACGCAAGTCAAAAACTAATGTTCCATGCATTATTCAGCATAATTCATTACTAATCTATATTCTGGCTAGAAAAGAGAAAGATTGCTAAAAGTTGAAACACGATGGTACTCGAGCGAGGCGTAGTCGAGTTTTGTACCTCCTTTCAACATTTGAGACGTTTATATGAAAGATGTCTTAGAAGAAAAGATGAAAAGAGGAAAGGATTTTACAAATTATGTATTATTTGTAAAATGCGCATTTCTCCTATTTATCAAGGATTTTGTGTCTACTCAGTCGGTGTCTACTCAGTCGCGATAGTTTTGTGGAATGCGTCCGCATTCTTCTTGTGCATTCATCCATTGGTAATAACTGCATAAATTAACAATCCACTACTGACGTATTAAAAAACCTGACCCCACACGGCATCCAATGTGCGATTAATCCTGGTTTATCGTTGCTAGTTTTAGAAAATGGGGTTTATTCGTGGTCGCTTCTTCATTCAAGTCGTCACGTATATGGCAACGCTCGTGTTTTTCCCAGTAAGTATTCAATGTTTTTATGGTAATTTACAAGTCCTCGTGATGTTGACGACTTAGATGAATTAATCAGATGAAACACGCTAAAACTATAAAAACTATTGAAATAATGTTATTGTATTAGTATTTGATAGTAAGTTAATACTCAGTTTCGAATTGAAAGCGAATAACCGCTGTTTCACTTGACAGCAGATTCTATTACGCAAAGAACTTACCAAAGACAAAAGAAAGGACGAGAAAATGTTGTTAATACAATAGCGCTAAGAATCTACATTTTCCCCGAGTTGAGGCTAACCCTGCTCATACCTTAGGTCTTATGGGAATACAGGGATAATCTCAACTCGGGGAAAATGCAAATTTTCAAGTCTATTGTAATAACGACATTTTCTCRTGCTTTCTTTTGTGTTTGTAAGGTCTTTGCGTAAGAGAATCTGTTGTCAAATAAAGCAGCGTTATTCGCTATGAATTCGAAACTGGAGTATTGACTGGGATGCGTTTAGTAGTATATTTTGGGGGTAACTTCTCAAAATATTTAACGTATTTAAGGTGGTAGATATGGGTTTACGCAATGATGTTACTGACCAAAGAAAATCAAGTGTTTGATGTGCTGCAAATTAAAAAAAAATGTGTGTATTAATAATTTCATAATCTCTAATATTATCACAAAATCTAGAGCAACTATCAAAATTCTCTTGAAAACGTTTCAATGTAAGGGACTGATCATCTGACTGATCTGATGTCTCAGGGAGGGGCGGTGTTTTTATCAGTAGGGGTTACAATTTTAAAATGTCTATTAATTAATCAGAGGGGGGTTATTTTTTCAGAGGTTGTTTTAAGCGGGAGGTGGTATGAATCACTTGCAATAGAGCGGATTTCGTATGAGTGGGAAACGGACGGTACTGTACTGTGTCCGTAACCGTACTGTAACCAAATTCTTGTGCCCCATTGTTTCACCAAAATTCTGCAGGCCAGGTGCGGTAACTGTGCGGTAACCGTGCGGTAGCGGTGTCCCACTCATACGAAATCCGCTCTAACTTACCCGGCACATTCCGCTTCTTCTCACACGTAATCACCACGTGACCTTTTATCGAGCTCCCCGATTTTTTATTTTTATTTTTCTATACTTTTCTTCCGTGTATTTTTTATAGATATTTTTTTCTATTTCTTATTTAATCATTCTTAATATCTTTCTACGTTTTGTTCTATTTCTCATTAAATTTGCTTATCTTTCTTCTTATTTCCATCCATTACTTCCTTAACCCATTCATACATTGTCTACCGTCTGTTTGCCAAAACTTTTAAGAATTCAATTTTTATTTAAAAATACACTTCCATCCAATCATCCACTCATATATTGTCCGCCCATTTTCATCCATTTATCTATTCCCACAACCTCGTTTCCAGGCCCTTATCCCTTCGCTTTGGGTCAGGTCCCGCATCTGTTTAATTTATCTCCTTCATCCATTTATCCTTTCATTTGTTTTCATTCATTTCTAAAGTTTAAATTACTCATTAAAATATTCACTTTATCCTCATTTATGCATCTGTACATATGCTCGCTCATAAGTGATATTTCCCATTTATTTCTAACAGTGCATGTACTGTATCTTTTCACCAGTTATCTACAGCGAAAGTCCAAGGAACTCTATCAATACAACTATACTCATATTACAACTCCAATAGAAAAAACTATGGAGGTTCTTGCTGTGACTGCTGTTCATTTTTTGGATGTCAAAATGAATGCGACAATTTATTTGAAATATGGCTGACGTCCTATCCAGCTTTTTGGTCGACGTCTGCGAAAAAGTACTGGCAAACGTATGTTTTGGGAGACGATTCCTTTTCTTTTCCTGGATCAAATCGAACTATCGGAAGGAACATCAGGAACCCTTTGACTTACCAATTTTCTGGAGCGTGGAATGTAAGTATGAACTGGCATAAAAGTAATGACGTCATTATTGCGTGATATATATGACGTCATTATAGATTGCTACATAAATATTTGATATTACATCACTGTTTGTTTTTACGTCACTGTGACGTCACTTACATGCAGTTAACTTGAAATAGRTATATCAAATGTTTTCTTATAATAATTGTAGAAATCGTTCGGTTTGAAAGTTAAAGTGTGGGATGACGATAGTGGCAATTTTCTTGGAATTGGCAGTAGGGATGACCTCGTCGATCAGATTTTGTTCAATCCTGTTAATATCGATGCTGGGAAACAGTCCGATTCTCCTAGATCATACACGGTAAGTAATGGCTGTTCATTAAAAATGAAATGCACAGAAAAATCAATGATTGGTGCTTGGTTGATTGGTTGG